TTTTTTTTTTTTTTTTTTTTTTTTTTTTTTTGTAAAGATGATGTTCCAGGTTTATTTTCCTCTGCCAAAGACATTTTTTTATTAAAGGGAGAGTGTAGACACAGAACAGTCTTCTCTGTGAAACACTTTCAGTGCACTCGCATRTTCAAAAATGCAGAGATTTTATTTTGTTTTTAACCAGTAGATCCAATTGTTCGGTGTACTGCAAAAAGGACCAGTTTAGAGGGGTGATGTGAACCTACTGTTATCAAACTGATGGGCCGGTGCCCTCAAGGAAGTAATAAATGTTGTTCATTGTGTGTATTGACTTAAGAGTGGTTAAAGGAGCCGTTCTAAGGAAACATGTTGTAAATAGTACACCTGTGTATTTGAACTTAATGCCAACTGCCTGTCTCTCAGCATTTCGTCACACTATCTGGTTGTGTGATATGTTTCCTGTTTGTCTTCTCTTGTTTTTTTCTTTGTTTTTTTTTTTTTAGAGAAAAACAACCTATCAGACAAAAGTGCAACACAGTTCTTACTCTGAGGCATTCTTTTGGTWACATTTGAAAATCTTAGGAATACTTTTTTTTTGTCTTAGTAAGCACTAAGGGGAAAAAAACAAAACAATGCAATGAATAAAACTGAAACTTCTGATAAACTAACACTGCTTCCTTCTCCTCCTTGCTCTCATTTCTTTTAACATAATATTCTCCCAACATGGCTTTTATAAGGTGAATAATGTCATGTAAAAYGTGTTTAGAATCAGTTTATGGGGGAAACATTTCTGAATGTTGGGAGAATTCCATTTTTTAAATCTGGTCTGATGGTTTCAAGCTCTTCACTTGTCTTATTCAAAGCAATCAAATAGTTACTTTCCAGCTATTTAATAAAACTGAGGCATTCACGTCCAGACTACCAGCTCACTATTTAAAGATTACTGTCAAGGTTTTATGGGGGATCCAAGTGCCAGTTTTGACTTGTAGCCCAGAGCAGCAACAACATGCCTTGAATAATTCAGTGTGTCGAACATTTAATGTGTAACACCATGACTGAAAAATGTACTGTACCAACGATGTCTAATTTCTCCCCTTCCACCGAGGACAGACAGCCTGTGTCCATGTGAGTAAATAAACACTTGTCTGATATATCCCTGCTTCTGTCACCACAGGGTTTGCCACAGGCAGAAGGTCAAATAAATTCAAGGATTTTCGGGATAGAGTGAGTGAAACATCCTGGTGTGTGTGTAGGAGGGATACATTTTTCTGCTCTGGTGTTTGGATCGAAGGGGAAGGTGATTGTTGAGGTGTCTTGGACTGCTGCTGCTTTTTTATTTATTTTTATGGTTGAATATTGTTTCTGGGAACTAATGAGGAGCCTCTTCAGTGTTGTGAGCTATTTATGTTGCTTTGATTTTTAAAGTGATCTTAAATCTGTGCCTCAAAATCATCTACTACAAAAAAGCTTTAAGTCTGCAGAAGTTGCAAAACTTGATCTGATTTTTCCGTAAGATTAAAAAGGACAAGTTTTGACACTTGTTTTAACTTTTGTTATATATTTCAACTTTTAACAGCTTCAAAATTACAAAAAAGGGAGTCCAAAGCATAGGCACCCTACATTGTGATTTGCTTGATGGCGTTTCCTTCTGGTAAGTATCAGTTTGTGGAGAAGCCCTGGGATCCATCTATTYAAGTCTTTCTGCATCTTGTTCTGTGAAATTCTTGAGCCATCTTGCTTACATACACACAAGTCATGTGGCTGCATAATAATACACAACCACCTCAGATTTGCCTTTTACTATGACATTAACTGAAGCAGATGATTGTAAACTTTCAGTGTTGCCATCAGCTGTTCAGTGGAAGTTATGTTAAAAATCTGAGATTCAKATACAGTAGAAGCTACAAAATGAGCCTCACCTGCTCATTCCATACAAGCTGATCAAGCTTTGTTCTGTTAAATGACCAATTCTTTTTAATTTMTTATTCCCACTGAGATCTTTAGTTTGCCTCAAGCTAATTTTTCTAAACAGACAAGTAGCTGATAAATAATAAAAATAATAAAAAGGACAATTRAATACATGTCATTCAATTAAGGTATCAAACGGATTGTCATAGTTACTTTTGAGCTTTTTCCTTATAYAATATAAAATAACTCATTTCTGAAGTACAAAAAATTTACTTGTGTGTATCATTGTGCTTTGTGGGTTTCTCTCTCTCTATAGGGTGTCATACAAATCCTTGTCTGTATTTTTCTTTAAGRTTTGTGGAAAGTGGGCTGTTGGATATTGCAATGCTTTGACCTTATTTCAACAAGACTTGGTCACTTCTTCATCGTATCCTTTGAGAGGGTCAACTCTTTGGATATCTCTGTTACAGGTGACTTCTCCTGTGTCTTTCGCGAGTTTTCTGTCCTTGCATCTCTACAGCCCGAGAAGCTGAGGAGGAGGAGTATAAAGTTCAGCCGCTGCACRAGGCCRTAGTGTCAACARCCAACCACTACTTCAGGCTCTTCARTCACTTTGACAYTGAAGGAGATACTGCTGTGTGCAATTAAATACACAAGTGTATAAGCGTGTGCAAATGGGCCATGACCCAACAGTCAGCACTACTTTGTAGTAAAATAAAAGAAGATGTTTACATCAGTCATGTCAAAATGCAATATTAGACATCCACTGCATAGGTGTTTTTTTATTGTCCTAACTTGGGGGGTGGGGGGGGTGACACTGGATTATTATTGGTTTTGTTTAAAAATATCAGAAAACAAGGTTGCAGTGAATAAACMTTTTAAAAGAATCTTAAAAGAAGTAGTAGATTAACTTAACATTTTTCACATATTTTGAA